TATACTCATGGATTACCAGCTAAGTGGACAACTACTACCACTAGTGCAAAATAGTCCCTACCACTTATGCCAGCAAGAGATTCTTTCCCATTCATCCTCTCTTGGTGAAATTGCTTCCCTGAGGTAACAATACAATTTGCGGCAAGACAACCCCTTATGGAAAATGCTAGGATTAACCAAACTCTTGGCTTACCCAATATCATCCAGGAGGCTGTGAGATGGATGCTGATTGAAAGTCAAGGGGTCGGAAAATGTGAAGACTTGAGAAATAATGCCAGCAATGGTGAGGTCCCCTGGCTGATAATACCGGTGACTTATTGGAAGAGGGTAATGGATATTGCATGGAGGAACTGGGACATCAGACCTAGTCTGAAGAAGGAGCAATAATATCAGGAGCACAAAGGGTGGCATTAGGTAGAAACATTTTCTTCTGCACATCAGTTCCTGTCTTAAGTGTCCTTAAGGAGTTCTGGCTGACTTTAGTCCCCTCTCAAACTTTGCACTAGGAATCTTCAATGGAAGGTCACCAAGCAGTCTTTGATGGATCCCTTTGTAGAATGGCAAGGCATCTTTTAGTAGCATACTTTGATCTTGGCTGTCTTCTGCAAAGCTGAATTGGTTGTCCTTTGGGAGGTGAAGTAGAAAATACCCTTGCCAAGTTGATAAATACAGGGGAGATAATCACCTTTGCAAAATCATGGGTTCTTTGCAATACTGTAGAAGGAAATAACTTGACTGCATATTTCAGCACGTTTTTCCTCTTTCCTCATTAATACATTATCAAGAGACTAGAGTCGTTGTAATTAGGAATGATCTCTCTCTCTCTTTCTCTGTCCAGGGTCTCTGAAATCAAAAAAGTCAAAGTGGCACCTGAACCATTTTTATACTTGTACTGTACACAACACACCTAAAAGAAGGCATAGACCTTTGACTGACATATTCACAGGGGTTTTTTTGTCCCCCCCCCCCCCCCACCTGGATTTCCTTCTTTGAAGTACTTTCTATTTTTCCACAGGAGATGGAAGATAGGAACCAGGAAAAGTCGGCTGAGCTAAGGGCCTAACCTGTATCGATCTGCAAATCAGTGATAATTCTTCATCTTCAGAACCAGATCAGTCACTGAAGCATCTGCTTTTTAACACTGTAGTCTGTATATGCGCAAGAACATTGGACTTGATCCAATTGTTAGTGTAGTGCTTTGGTCCCTCTGTTTCTTTACATAATGGCTAGACCTCTGGTTTAAAAACCGTCCTTTATTTTCTTGATGGATACAAAGACATGGCTGATCCACCTCCTTTAAACCCAAATTAAAGGCAGGCCAGACAGAAGAGTAAATGGAAGGATGGGGAAGAAAGTCTTCTGAACTCTCTCTCTGGCCTTTTGTAGTTGCTTCTTTTCTCCCTTTTTCCTCCATAAAATTTCTGCCTCCCTTTGAATTCCTGGGTCCTTTCTATCTCCTCTGGCTATCCCCTAAGCATATCACTTTTCCAGACAGGTTTAGTCTGCTGTCTTTATAATGCACCTAACTAGGTCTATTTCTTACCTCTAGATTTGTTCCCTGCAGCCCACAACACCATCATTTTTATACTTTTTCTAACCTTTTATCTTTGTTCCTTCCCCTAAACTCTTCCCCTCCTTTGAAAGATTCCAAATCAGTCTTCCTTATAGATTCCTTCTATCCCTCAAATGCTAATTTAGTAAAAGGTTGATATAGGTTTAGAAACCCAGATGCAGAGACCCAGACAGACAGAGATGTAATTGAGCCAGTGTCATCAATTACATATTAATTTATCCTGCATTCCTTTCCCATGTTAGCTTCTTTGATGTCCACAAGAGAACAGTCAGAGGGAAGGACAATATTTAAATTAATTAATCAGAAAGCTAGAAGCCTCTGAGCCCTACGTTTCCCAGCAAGAATACTCTGAACATGGGTTTCAGAATGTCTCAACTGTCAACCTTTATCAACCTTGGCTATGTCAAAAAGCTAAGCAGGGTTAGGCCTCCTTTTGGATGGTGGTTGTGGGGAGAAAGCATTTAAGAAAGTTGCCAATCCTTGCTCTTGTTGTTTACTGCTTCACCTTTGTAAGAGAGTGAACCATGGAGAAGAGAAAGATTATCTTGAAGATGTATTAAGATAAATGTTGCCATAAAGAGCTACCTGGGTATCCATGGCATAAATTTTGTTTAAGAACATACTGAAGATAGAGGAATGGTCATTTTTTAATTTTTATTTTATTGTTACACTTATACCCAAACATTCTGTTTTAATAAAAGCTTAAGACATTTGTTATTGGTCGAAACCCCATAAAATGTGTATAACATAACTGATTCCTATAACTTACTTTATGGGTTTTTTTTGCATGAGTTGCTGCCTGTTATTCAGCTCAGGTCTTATCAAGATAATGTAGAGTTTGGGGGAGAAAATGAGGACCAATAATCCAGCACCTGAGGCTAAGATAGAGA